GGCCGGGCCGGCGCAGGCGGTGTTTGCTGCAGCTAGGGAGCGTGCAGCCCAAAGGGCCCCAGTGCTGCAGGGTGCCCCATGCACTGCGCTGCAGGTACCAGAGTGGCAAGTGCCACCTCGGCACTGGGGCACTGTGGTTCAGCCAGGAGCCGGGGGAGCAGGGACTGGGTGACGACTCGTTCACTCCTCACACAACAACCTTTGGTTTATGGTCCAAGATCTTTATTTGTCTCAGGGGCTTCTGCTGTGGTTGTAATGATTAAAAAAACCTCATCAGGCATTTTGGGTAATGCTATGTAAATTATCCTAAAGGCAGTGGCAGTGAGTGGGAGTCCCCACCTGGGCTGGAGCAGCCTTTTTTCTAACTTGCACAGCATCGCCGTGGCGTGGGGACAGGAAGGACATACAGACGCAGAGTAAGGCCCACATGGGCACTCAGAGCGCTTGCCAACGTACGCCAAGGTGGCCCCGGCCAGGCCCTCACCTATGCAGTTGTTCCTGGCTATGCTCACAAAAAAAAAAAGAAAAAACAACAAAAAAAAACCTGACTTTGGGAGAAGCTGAGCAACAGTATTACTTGATTTGGTCTGTATACATAAATACGCTGGGACAGGGTCTGGACACATACACTGAACCCTGCATGCTGAGGACTCTGACAACACGGACAACAGGGTTATATCCATTTACAAAGATCAGTGGCCAGCTCCTTTGGACACCCTTGGGGTGTCCTGCTGCAGCCAGGGCAGGAAAGGAGGTTTGGGGGGGCACTACCTTCCCCCCCCTCCCCACCAGTGAGCCACATATCATCCAGACAGTACCCAGCAAATGGTGGGTGAAGTGTCCCTTCCACACCTGCAATGGGCAGCAGGGAGGGCATGCTTGCAGCCCAGATGACACATGGGGCATCTCTGCCATATTGCAGGGCCACGACCCCCTCCAAGACCCTCTGCCTCTGTATCTCTCCTCTGCATGATGCTCTGTGCAGCTCTGTCCTCTGAGCAGGACAGCAGCTCCCTGTTTCCCTCCTCAAGGGCAGTTATTTTCATCATTGCTGCCTGGTTCTCAGAGGTCACATTCCCTCAGGGCTGTGGTGAGAAATCCTGCATGATATCACTGCTTTTCTTTGCAGTTTTAGTCTCTTTTGTTGTAGGACATGTCTTGGCTTTACGCTCCTTACCCAGAAAATAGATGCTTATTTTGTCCATCCAACCATCCAGCCAACTGCCAGCTCAGGGCAGAAAGGGCCCTAGGGGGATGGTGGCGTCAAAGCCCAGGGAAAAATTTCCCCAAGGTCAGCATATCTCTGAAGGGAAAGGGAAGGGAGCTTTCCTCATCCAGGAGGGCACAATCTTGACTGCCTTGTGAGAGGGGCTGGATGGGCCAAAAGGACTTTCCTCGAGCACATCCATGCCAGACTGGTCCAAAATGTCTGACAAATGTTTGGCCCCTGTCTCTTTTCATCTTGAGGAATAAATGGTTTAAGAGCCTGTTCAAAGCATCCAGCGTTAGGCCCTCCATGGGCAGACAAACTTTAAAGCCCTGGAGAAGGTCATCCAGGGAGAGAAGAGGTGACAAACATCATTGATGCCGTTTGGCCAACGTCGCAAGAGCAGGGAGCTGAGGCAGGTTCCTGGTAATCTCATCTCCTTGCATCATCTTGCCTGTGGTTTTCCCCTCTGGCTTGCCAAGTGAGTCCTCAGGCCAAGAGTAACTAGAAGGAGCTGCATCTCAGAGGTACCTTGGACGTTTGTCAGCACTGAGTGAAGGGCATCATCTGCATTCACTGCACAGTCTGCACTTTTATGAGTGGGGGGCAGAGGACCTCCCCCCCCCCCAGCAAAGGAGGCAAAGGGAAGGATTTCCATAACTTTGCTAAAGTGGTCCCTGAGTGCCAGTTTATCTGGCTGTGCCAATGTTCCTGTACTGGCACATGAGAAGGTGCTTAAAGGTTTTCTTGAAAGTGGCATTGCAGAGGGCATAGCAGGCTGGGTTGATGGTGCTGTTGACATAGCAGAGCCAATAGCCAATGGACCATACTGTATCAGGTACGCAGGTCTCACAGAAAGTGTTAATAAGGACCATCACATTATATGGAGTCCATGTGAATATGAAGGCTAGCAAGATAGCAAATATGGTTCGGGTGACTTTCTTCTCCCGGGCTGCCATCTGGCGCTTCTTCCGTACTTGGCTCCTGGCGATGCTGGCAAACTTTCTGGCAACATTGGCAGGGCGGCTGTTGGCCAGCGAGTTGTGTTCAGAGGCTCCTGCCTTAGCTGGGACGATCTCAATGGCGGTGACACATTCGGTCCCAGTTTGCTTAGTGACAATCTTAATCTTGGACCACTTGGAAGATGGGTTCACTCGGGGGTGGGATGGGCTCTGCCCTTGCCCCACTGGCAAGATTTCTGCTGTTGGCTTGTCTTTTGTGGTCTGGGTCATGCTGACTGTGCTAGACTCATTGGAGGTCTCCTTCTCCTCCTGATGGCCAGTAGCCTCTGTCTGGGCTGAGGTCTGGTCATCCACTTTCCCATTCCTCACCTCTTCCTTCACTTCCACAGCCCTCTTAGGAGAGTTGTTGTTGTTCTGTTTGATCAAGGGGCCTTTGAAGAAGGTGATGGACTTGCCTTTCCTCTCTTTCCTGCTTTCAGGCTTGTGCCTCCTCACCCTGCTCCTACTGGCCAGTGAGATGTGGATGTACAGCACCGTCATGATGACCACAGGCAGGTAGAAAGCAGCGATGGCCGTGCCGAAGGTCACTGCAGGGTTGGAGAGGAACTGGATATAGCATTCCCCCTCAGGGACTGTCCTCTTGCCCACAATGAACTGCCAGAACAAGATGGCAGGGGCCCAGAGAATGAAGGACAATATCCATGCGGCCGCAATCATTAACCCTGCCATCTTGGTGGTCCTCCTGGCTGGGTACGTCAGGGGCTTGGTGACACAGAAGTACCGGTCAAAGCTGATGATGAGTAAGTTCATGACAGAGGCATTGCTCACCACATAGTCTAGGGCGAGCCACAGGTCACACACCACGGCACCCAGTGGCCAGTAGCCTTTGATGATATAGACCGTGTAGAGATTCATGGAGAAGACCCCGATGATGAGGTCCGCGCAGGCCAGGCTGAAAAGGAAGTAGTTGTTGACAGTCTGGAGTTGGCGGTTCACCTTGATGGACAGCATCACCAGGATGTTCCCCACCACTGTGACGAGGCTGAGCGAGCCGGTAACTGTGGCAATGAAAACCAGCTCCACAGTCTTGTAGTTGGTGGGAGGCTGGATGGTCACCTCGGTGTGGTTGTTGGCAGTGAAGTTGTCGTAGGTCAGGTTGGCCATCTTCGCCTGCCAGGGCTGAGCAGAGAGGTTGTGCATGGGGTCTGCAAAGGGAGAAGGAACAGAAGGGAAGACTATTGTATCTGCTGCCCATACGTCTATCCAACCACAGCACCATAACTGTGAGCTTCTTTAATCAGTTTTAGTTTAGTTAACATATTAGGGTTAACTATATAAGATCCAACTCCTTCCTTTTCATGTCTTCTCTCCCTCCCTTTTCCCACCTTTTTCTTGCTGTGCTGTTATGTTTTTTACCCAGAAAGCCTAGGTGTTTCCAGAGCTGCATGTGAGGAGCATGGAACAATGAAGCAGGGAGGTTGGAGGTCAGGAGAGTGTAAACTGAAGTGATACTTTAGCTTTCTTCTTGTAGCACTGATACTAATGCGCTGTGGAAGTGGCACATCCCTATCAGCAGGCTGAGCCATGCAACACCTCACATCCCTGTGAACCCCTTGCGCCAGGCTTTGAAAGGGTGAGGGAATACTCTCTCTTTTGACCAGGGCACCCCCTCACCCAGCTCCTGCCCAGCTGATCCACCTCCCCATCTCCCACATACAGTGTGGGAGAGAACCCCAGCTTCCGCGACAGAGACAGAGCCCTGGGTGGGAGCAGAGCCCCAAGATAAAGTCCTGTGAACGAGGAACAGGCACCAACTGAGCCATCAGGAGGGGCTGCTCAACCCTAGTGCTTGCAGTGCTTTCCACTTCATCATTTTTCCTAGGCCAGTGTTGTATTTAGCTAATGCTCAAAAATCTCCCAGTGTTATCAGGTCCCCATCTGCCCCTGTAGCCCTCTATCCAGGAGCTATTTCAAGCTACACTTTGTATCCCTGGAGCGGAGCAGTCTTGGGAGCATCCCTTGGCCTTGCTTAGCAAAGGATGAGACACACAGGGCTGCAGGGAGAGGATCTGAGGGAAGATATGGGGCAGCAGCCCTTTCCCCTGGGCTTTCGCAAGGCCAGCCTTGCCCTCTGCTGGTTGTGTCCCGCACTGTGTGCTGCACTGGGACTGCCATGGATGCCTGTGTCCAGGCAGGCATCTCCCAGAAGTAGGGGCCCTGGGGCAACCATGTGCCCCCAGTTTGCAGAGCCGGGGTGGGGGTGGGTGGTCCTGGGGTCCCACCATGGCCCTTCAGCTTTAAGGAGCAGCTGTCCCCAGACCAGCACATTTCCTTACCAGGGGTGCTCCAAGGCACTGGGGCCTTCACTCTACCTCTTTAGAGGCCACTTTGGTCTCAGAGTCTCCTGAAATGGACCACTTTGGTGTGCCTCAGAGGCCACGTCTGCATGGTGGCTAAATCCTTTGCATCGTTTCTAAAGATTCTGCCTGTGGTTGCAGCAGGGATTTTGGCAGGAGTGTTTGGAAGGGCATGTGTCCTCCCAGCCCGTATTCATTCCCCAGTTCCCTCCCCCAGCCACTGGCTGGGCCCTGTTTTCGGTAACTGGCCCCCAAGAGATGTACTGCCAGGAGTGACCCGTGGCCCTTGATTTACCCACCACAGGGCTAATAGTTTCCCAACTCCTCCCTTTCTCTCAGTGCTGTGATCCTTTACTCCCCTGCTGCAGCGCAACCTCATGTAAGTCCCTGCTCCTCCTGTCTGTGTGAACCTATCCATGCTAAGCCACAGCTGGGCTGGTAAGTGCCAAGATGCCCCCATGGTGAGCATGAGGTGACAAGATCGAAGCCACCAGGCAGCCAATTGCTTTAGGGCTGGGAGACACCAGCCACAGCTTCTCCAGAGCCACCCAAGCGGGAAAAACATAGAGGCCTTCAGTTTGGCTGTGACCCCCAGAGCAGGCTCTGCAGCCCTCACTTGGCGGGGATCCAAGCTCCTGATGGCTGGAGAGGGGCCTCCTCACTCAGCCCCATCTCTGTGGGGCCAGGGAGCATCTCTGCAGTAGGACCACAGCCCCAGCATGCCTGAGCTCCTGCAAGGGTGTTGGGAGGAGACCAAAAAAAAAAAAGGCTCAGATCCTACAGTGTCTGCCTGGAGGAAGGGGGCTCTCTGAGCCAAGCATAGCTAGTTGCAGAGCCTGGCAGCATTACGCGGTGGTTGCTGGAAGGACCTCTGGGCACGGAGCCAGTGCCTGCCACTAGGACAAGAGCAGGATATGGTGTGCCTCAGGCATGTCCCGCTGCCCCATGTGGCCAGCGAGTCATGGGGAGGAGGCCAGGAGGCTGCCCTGAAACACCTCCAGCCTCCCGCGGGAGGGCAATCCCTTGCGGGGGAGCATCCTGCAAAGCCTGTGCCAAGGCCTGCACAGCTCACCTCTGTCTCCAGTAGCAAACAACTCCTTCTGGAGGATGAGAGCTGGGAAAGAGAACAGAGCAAGTTATGGCACAACATCAGCCCTGAGGTGTTCGTGCAAGCCCCACAATCTCTTACCAGGTACAAACCTGGCCACCTTGGCCAGCTCTTCCAGCGAGGGTGCGGCTGGTTTTGAAGCAGCTTGGGTATATGCTGCCATTTCAGGAGGAGCCCCAGGGTCAAGCCTCTCCCCACAGGCCTCTTTTCTTGCCAGGGTGCTGCTAGTCAATGAGGGATTTTTCTCCCAAATTAAGCTCTCCCGGATTACCAAAGGGGCCATCACAGTATAGTACAAGCTCTTACATGATGACGGGGACTGGTGTGCGCAGAAGGTACCCGGTACCTGCCTGTGAACCTATCTCTGCCTCACTTCAAAAGGAGTTAAGCCTTACCTGAAAAAGTGATATGGGATTGATTACTTGCACGAAATGCAGCACCTGGCACATTAACGAAGAGGTGACATCACTTGGAAGAAGATACAGAAAACCCCAACAAACAAGGCTGCTCCCACCCCAGCCATAATACCATGCGGGATCAGTGGAAAGCACTGATTTCCACTTGGCCAAAGTGCCTCTTCCCAGCAAGCGGATGGACTGTGCCTGCTCCATCGCCTCTGAATAGACACAAGCCAAACCCTGTAATGTTTTCACAATGTATCCCCCCAGAGCCCTTCATTTTACTGAGCAATTTAATTTGTGAGCGTGGCCAGCTGCAGGCTCTCGGCAGACACTAGCCATGACAGTAAGCAGATCAGGCAGCCTGGGGTGAAGGTGTGGGTTTCCCAGATCCCTGGGTCTCCCAGATCCACTGGGCCTTCACCAGCCACATCCTGGGGCCTGGGGGCATCCTGACCACACTGCCCCAGCTAGGGCACTGCCCCAGCAGCTCCACCTAGACCCTGACCATGGCCCAAGGCAGAAGCCCTGCTGCCTTGCTCTCCCCTGTGCCCTGGGGCATCCTTTACCCTCTGCCATCCCTGTCCTAGCAGTCATTATGCTCTGATGCCAGAGCAAACAGGGAGGATGCCTTATGAAAACTTGCCACAGCTGAAAGCAAAGAAAAGAAATGAGGAATACATATTCTTTCAAAGGAAGCCTTACTTATTATTTCGTAGTATTTCCAGGGCAAATGTTTTTCTTTTTCTTTGTCTTCTGTATCTTTCACAAAAAGACAATATCTTTTGTGATGATTTTTGTCATATAGCTAAGCACCCACTGAGAAATCAAGCTCCTTCAGACTGCTTGGAGTCAATGACAGGATCAGGTGGCCACTGCAGGACCACGGGGCCAATTGACTCTCCTGAAGGCAGCCCAGCATGATCCAACAGGTCAGGCAGGCATCTGACAGCTAAAAGCTGTGGCACTGAGCGTGCTTGGCAAAGCATTTCTCTTAAAGTTAGCTTGACTAACGAAGCTGGTTTTAAATGCCTTGGACATCATGAAGTTGTTTTTGCTAAACGTGTAAACACTCTATTAACACTTGAGTTTCAAAAATAGAGTTTGGCAAGCTTTGATAGCATCTCATATTTTTAAAGTCTTTTTTAAAAAAAATGCCCTGTGCCTTTGGTTTGTGGTGAGAGTAGAAGAATTTTGTCATGAGTAAGCATCCAAGGTTTTAATACCATCACTTTTTAAAGACATACAGAAGTAAGAAAACAGAAGCATGATTGTTGAGATGCTAAAACTGAGTATTTAATAAAAAGTGGGGTACCAGTGAAGCTGTTAAGGCAGATTCTACACTAGCCATGAACTAGGATTCAAAATCCTGTGAAAGGGCAGCCGCAGTATCAAAGCTTTTGTGATCAGCATGCCCAAACCACAGTGGTTTTGAGGTAGTTTGTTGTTCTGTGCATGGGAACAGGTACAGAATAGACCCCCTAGAAGGGCTACAGCTGCTATAGTGGCTGAGATTTTCTTACATGCGTCAGGGGAAGGTAAGTAGGTGAGGGACAAAGAAATACCTCTGTACTATTATCCTCTTAGAGTGTTACAAATGGCTTATGAAGACAAAAGTGCTTTTAAAAGAAAGCAAAACCCACAGGTAGAAAGAGTAGAAGAGCTAATTATTAACCCAGCTAGGAAGCCCACCGACGTACTCATGGCAGTGTCTTGCTTTGTGCAGTGTGTGGCGCTCCAAGTGAAAAAAAGCCATATGAAGATAGCGGAAAAGCTTTTCTTGGTTTTATCCAGTCTGGGCACTTAGCCAAGGAAGCGATAAGAGGTGGTAAATATATAAATGGCTTAGAAACATATAGTCATGGCAGCTTGGGTGCTGTTTTAATACAAATGAAGTGAGTTGTAAATTCTTAGCTTTAGTAACGTGGGAAGATTTAGCTGTCGTTCTTGTAACATCCGATCAAAAATCGAACAAACAACCAAGCATCTATCCCAAGTCTTTCAGGAAGAATTTGTACATCTTGAAACAAAGCTCCTTTCTTCTTCTTCACTAAAATAATTTTTTCACTTTAACTGATGAAATTTCATTTTCCTTTTTTTTTTACTTTAATTTATGCAACAGCATTTCATTTTAAGTGCCTTTAGTTAATAATCAGACTCTTGAAAAAAGCCTGTACTCCTAGTTGCCCAAAGTAGGGTTAGCTCATCCCAATAAATAAAATTGTTTGTAAAAGTCACCCAAAAATTTAAGACAAAAAGACTGGGTTTAGCTCAGCTAACATGTCTTTGGATGCCACCCACAGGTCAAGTTGAAAACCTGTGTGCTGAAAAAGAGGAAACTG